TCCTCCTCCTCCTCCTCTTCATGGCTCCTCAGTTATCCAGTTCCATTGATTCTTGGCTGGGTAGATCATTCTACTTCTCTCTTCTTGAGATCCCCATTCCCTGTGGTTCTAAGCAGGCCTTGTCACCTGGAGCCTCAGTTTTCACAGGGTCCTCCTAATTTATTTCCCTGCCACACGGCCAGTTTTGTCTATCATGACCTGATTAATCTTCCCAAAACAGTACTTCTTGAAAGTACTTTTGGTCAGTACTTCCTGACCAAAACCCTTCACTCTCTCCCCCAGGCTAATCCTGCCACTGAAGGCCTTTCAAAATTCAGGCTAAATCCGCTCTTCCCAGGGCACACACACCACTCTCGAGCAGACTGGTATTTTCTGTATCTCGAGCCCATTACAATGTCTTCGGCATCTCTTCACCTTACTCCGACCACTCTCCACCCCGTTTGTGTATCTTCTTGAAAATTCTGCCTAGATTACAAATCTATGTCAAGGTCAGTAGCTCAGTCTTCATAGAGATTTCCTTGTGACATGTGCCTCCATTCAGCAACTATTTATCAACCATCTTCTCTGTGCCACCCACTCTCCCGGCATGGAGGATGCAGAGGTGAATTATCAGCCGAAGTCCCAGCTCTAGTGGAGCTTGCCCTGGGGAGGTGGAGGGAGGAGTAAAAGAACAAACAAACAAAATTAAAGAGATATTTTCAGGTAGTGTTAAATTCTACTCAACCTCAGCAACCGATGTCCATGGAAAAGAAACACTGAGTCTCAGAGAAATTAAATGCTTTCCCAGAGATCACATGGTTAGTAAATGACAGCACCTGGCTCATAGATCATAGTGTCTTCCATGTATTACCTACATTACTTATTTCTTTAGCCAAATGTTAAACTCAAGATCAGGTCATACTTCTTTTCAATGTGGCCTGATACTTAGCACACGACTGGGCATGGTACAAGCGATCAAGGTTACTTACAGGAAGAAAGAAGGAAGGAAGGTAGATGGCAGGCAGGTGAAGGGGCGTCCGTGTTTGGTCATGGACCTAGGTCACTCCTTACCTTTCCAGTGTGTCTTGTTAGTGCCACATATATGTGCATACCAGTAAGACCACCAGAGGGCTTGGGGTGCCTAGAGAAGCTGTCAAGGAGTTCCGGTTTCTATTTTACACTAATTTGCCTTTCAAATGGCAAATTCTTTCATTTGGACTGTGATGACCCATGGGAGGGGGCACTCAGTGTCCTCCCAGCTTCTTACTCTTGACGGTGACAAGTAAGAACAAGATTTGTGTCAGCAAGACCAAGGCTGGGAACTGTCAAGCGATTTGTTTAAGACAACCTGCAACAGACGATCGGTCACAGAGTAGACTCATTGCTTGCTGCTCTTCGGGAAGAAAAATATAAGAGGAGAAGAGAGAAGAAAGAGGGGAACAGAAAAGGGGGAAATATACCACAAGTTCCTATTTATAGAATCATAAAGCCAAACAAGAAGCTCTCTTCAAGGAAAGGAAGGTATTGAAATCGCATTTGAAATACTCTCCTGTGTATCTAAATAATTTTTGTTCTCTCCCACCAACTCTTCAGGCACCATGCATTGGTGATTATAGTTTGGCTAACAAAACCTGTAGAGCGAAACGTCACCCCCAACTCTGATCTCCCTTTAAATTATTTTCCATTTAGTGTAAATCCTATAGTGTGGCATAAAACTTTATTGAATAGCTCATTTGAGCAGAGAATACTTTTGAAAGAATATTAGTAAACTCTTTCAATGGAGTCAAAACACCAAAATGGAAAATTCAAGTTTTGAAGAGAGCCATTAAGTGTGATTAAACCTTTAAAAAGGAGAGAAGAACGCCCGCAGAACTCTATTTAGCCATTTCATATCTTTAATTGTCCAAAGATTTACTTTAAAAGCACCAACATGAAAGGATGCTGAATGTTACAGTGTTTAGAGGGGGGGGGGAGGGTGAAGATAAGCCCCGTTCACCAGCAAATGGAGCTCAGCCCAGAAGTAGGGACAACAAAAGCAGCGGGGACCTGCTTCCTTCTACAATATGTATGGAGAGAGGGAAATAAAAAGGCAGCAATTCTTGACTCAGCTTTGAGGAGCACAATGGGCATGATTAGGGCT